GGAATGACTTTTTGGGGCCCGAGCCCAGTGCCCGAATGGTAGTTTTTTTCTTGTGGTGCTTGAATACTTTGTGCAAGTTGGACTTTTTTGTTTTTTGGGGATCTAAAGCTTGACTTGCCGGTAGTTGAACCTTTCGACCATTGACAAACTCTTATGGGCCAGCATTGAAAAGATCTGGGCAGGGGGTGGACTCTCGCTATGACAAACTGCGCTCGCGCAGTTTGTTTTGAGGCGAAAGCAGCCAGCGCCAGTGCCTGAGGCAAACCTGGCAGCTGCCATATGACGGGGTCTCGGCTGCTAAGGTGGCCAACGATTGTAACCAGTAGGCTGCCAAGTTGCATGTTTCTGCCCAAGCGGATCCCGCCCCTTCCCTCTTGACTTTCTTCTTTGGGGTCCTTTTGGCCATGCAGCAACGCAAGTCAAGTTCAAGCCACCTCGGAGTAAGAGCGCATCCCAAAATTCTTCCCCCCCCCCTCCCTCCCCAAGATTTTCGGCAAAAAAACACTTCCGAAAAACGGATTGTTTTGACAAAGAACGCGCGCGCGAAAAAACAAGGTTTTCGGTCCAAAAAAAGCACACAAAAAAATGCATAAAAAGCATGTCCTTAATGACCGGCCAGTCGAAGAGCTGCAGCAGCTCCCCCACGTCGGCCTGGGCAATCTCCGTCTTCCACGAAGGGGCCAGAATCTCATACTAGGCGGAATGCTTTGGATGGTTCTGACTATCTTATTAATGGCGCGAACGTCCTCACTGGTCGGTGATGTGGAATTGCGTTCGCGATTGTGCCCAATTGATCTGACCTAGGACACTTCTGTACGCAGTATGCATTTGTGGAGTAAGAGGAGTGTCGTCCTTCAGGTACTTGTCAAACTGAGCTTCGTCAATGCCGCCATCATTTTTGTTGGGAACGAACTTGAAAACCCTTGCGAAGTCGTCCCATGATTTCCTTCTCGAACACATCATCACCTGTCATAAGAAGATCATCAACATGAAGAGAAAGTGCTCCATGAACTTGTCAATTCTTGCCGGAAACAGGATCCATAAGATAATCACCTGCTCCTTCGACTCACCAATGCGGGCCTCGGAAGCTGCTTGCCATAGTTATACACATGTGCAACGGTCTGCCCTGATTGGCGCTAGTCCGTAAGAACGGAGTGCCGAATCAAGGATCCAATGTGTGGCGGATATCCCATTTCAGGAGGGATCTGACAAATGATGTCACGAGTCTGATCGTATGCTTTGCCTTGGAGGAATGCTGTCTTCAAAATCCATGTCATCTGAAATATATTCCAGCACAAATGTGCGGCTGCTTGGATTGCAAAACTGAAGCCACTCCTGGATGCAGCAGGACTGTCTGTCTGCTGATCGTTCTTCTGCTTGTCTTGGAAGCCCGGAGCCAGCGAGCCTTGGTCTTCAGGAAGGTACCATCCTTGTCTCTCTTTAGGGTAAGGGCCCAGCGAACCCAGTTTCTGACCTGAGTCTTGCGTGTTGACCAAGTCGAACACTTCGTTATCAAGCCAAGGTTTGCGCTCAGGCTGTGTAGCCTCAAGGAATTGCTTCTGATAAGCCTTTATTTCAGTGGCTGTCGCTTCCTTCCGCTTCTTGCCAACGAGTGCGGATGTGGATGAAGCCTTGAAGGATTCTTGCTTGGATGAATACAAGACACGATGGGATAAGATAGGATGAACCGGGATAAGATAATTTAAGCAAGGTTAATAGAGGATAGTACATCATAAGAAAAGACAAGGTAGGTAATGTACAATCGATGTGACACGTAAGATAGATCAGATAGATAAGGTAGAATAAGACAGACAAGATAGGTACGATGGGATAGATGGGAACAATATGATAGATAGGAATGATAGGATAGGTAGGTGGGTGGGTAGGTGGGTAAGTTGGTAGATAGATCTATAGATAGATGCATAGGAATAAATAAGATAAGGTAGGAACATATATGTCCATGCGAGATAAGGTAGGGTAACATGGGATCAGATAGGGTAAGAGAGGATAGGACGGGAGAATACAGGACAAGATAGCAAGGCAAACACGATAGGATAAGATAGAATTCAATAGGATAAGGTAGGATACGATAAGAAAATAGGATTAGATGGGATAAGAGAGGATGAGGGTAGGATAAGACAGGATGAGATAGAGAGAGAGGTAGAAAAATCGACAAGTAGATCGATCGGTGCATAGGACAAGATAGGCTAAGACAGGACAAGACTAGGTAAGATAGGCCAACATGGGATAGATGGAATAAGATAGGATAATACAGGACAAGCTAGGATACGATAGGCTAAGATAGCGCAAGATAACCTATAGGTAAGATAGATAAGGTACATAATACAGGTATGATGGATATGATAGACAAGGTAGATACGACGTACTATGATGTTTATCAGATAGACAATATTGTGACATTTATCAGACAGACAAGATGGACGTTCTAGACAAGCTAGATACAAGGAGCTAAATACGACAGGTATGAACGGTTTTATAGATATTCTATCTAGCTATCTAGATAGGATAGATACGCTCAATAAATAGATAAATAGATAGATACATAGGTCGATAGATAGATAGATAGATCGACCGATAGATAGGTATAAATAAAATAGATGTAATAGATAAATACATAGATGGATATAAATAGATAGATAGAGATAGATAAAGATAGATAGGTAAAGATACATATGGAGATAGAGATAGATAGAGAGATACATAGATAGATAGATGTAAATATAGAGATAGAGATAGATAGATAGATAGATCAATAGATAGATAGATAGATGGATAGATAGATAGATAGATGTAAATATAGAGATAGAGATAGATAGATAGATAGATAGATAGATAAATAGACAGATGAATAGATAATTGGATAGAGATAGATAGATAGATAGATGGATAGATAGATAGATAGATACATAGATAGATACATAGATAGATGAATGGACAGACATAATATGGGATGAGTTTGCCGCCTTTTCAAACTGTTTTCTCGCGTGAAAGTTGGCATTGAGGAAACGTGCGAAAGTTTGCATTTTCACGGTGTTCACCGCTGACGTGGGTTTTCGCACGTTCACAGTTTCGCGGTTTTCACGGTTTTTGCGCTTTGTGGAGTTTTCGGGGGTTTTCGCGTTTTTTAAAATCCGCATTGCGCACTTCACGAAAATATCTTATAGTAAAGCTGTCGGGGTGGCCGTTGAGTTTTCCACTTCGCGGACTTGTGTGACCCAAGTGCACACACCGCTCTCTCGGCCGCTGGGGACAGCGCCTTTTGTACAACCAGTAGAACCGCCTGGTTGTCCAACATTCTACAGTAAATCCCAGTCACCACAGCAATGCCACCAGCGATTTCTTATGGTTTTTCTTGTGGCTTTGGAAAGGGTGGGAAACTCCGTGGTACCCTCCCAACAACGGGGCCATTTCTGTGGTTCCATGGCAAAGCTGATGGCGGTAGTGGTCGTTGCTTTTGCCAGGAAGCACCAAAACGGAACCCCCTGGATCGATTTTAAGTCTCCTTAACATTTGCATACATGTTTTTGTTGCATTTGCTTTCTGTGACCTGTTTGTGTGCTTGGTGTCACGCTCTTGAATTTTGAGGTGGGGCCTGAAATTTGCGCAAGGTTGGAAAGCTTCGAATTTTTGAGTTTTCACATTTTTTCGCGCACACTGTGTTTTCATATTTTTTACGGTTTTCCATTTTTTGTGCTTTTCGAATCTTCACGTTTTCGATTTTTTTGTTTTTGAGTTTGTTTTTGTTTTTTGTGTTTTTCGTGTTTTTCGCGTGTTTCGCTTTTTCAAGCGGTGACATTGCGCTTCTCCGGCTGGAACTACGACACCTAAGAAAAATACACAGTATAAGGGTTACGTTCTTGCAACTTGTTGCACGGCTGCCATCCTTCGCGATCAGCAATGCAAAAAAACACCTAAGAATTTGGAAATGGAAATTGAGTTGGGTTTCGCAGCTTAACATTTTGACGAAGATGCGTCGCAGCCGTGCGACGTTTTGCGCGGAAGTGGTAGAGACGCCGCATCGTGTGCGTTTTCCGGGGTCTGTTTGGTTGTTGAACGAAATCGAAATGCGGTGGTCGTTTTCGTGGATTGCTTGTTCGCAACATCGTTTTGTTTTGTGGACTTATTTGATACGCGAGCGTTGGGGCTTGCAATTGTCTCGGTCAGCAAAAACCAGCAGATGTAGTGGCTGCGTGTTTCCAAGTTCCCCACGGGTGCAGCAGTTGCCTTGCGTTGCTCCTATTAAAAAGCACATCAAAGAGAAAATTCAACCAATCACAGGCGTTTACTCAGGGTTTAGGCACGGTGCGAGCTACAGTTCCAACACAGCATCAAGGTGTGAGGAACTGATTTTGGTCCCTGGTTGTTTTGGGCCGTATTGTGGTCAGATTTTGTGTTTAAGCGTGTGGAAACACATCAGTTTGAATCACTTGAAGTCGATGCTGGTGGATTGATTCTCGAGGCGGTGTGGAATCCCATCCATGGCGGTGAATACTCCTGATTGAAGGGTTAGCACTTTTGACTTTGGATTCATTTGCAATGAGACAGACAATTTCAATATGATTCGTGCGCAGGGATAATGCACATGAATTGATTGGATATCCAGTAATATTACTGTTATTATTATTGTTATTATCATCATTGTTATTGTTATTATTATTGTTATTACTCATATCATACAGTATTATTATTATGATTATTCGGACATTTGCCCACAGACACTGACATTGGATTTGCCTGGAAATACACAAGGTTGGGGTCGCAGCCAAAAGGACATGTCATGTAGTTGCGCAGCACGTTGTTGGCTCAATCCTTGCATTGTTTTTGCCATGCCACTACGATCATGGGGCCTTCTGCTTGCGGCTTTGACTTCTGCTTTCTGCAAGCGCATGGACTTTTTCAATGAAATGCCGGCAGTGCTGAACCTGAACGAGTCGGAAATGTGTGTGGGCAGAAAATCGCTGGAGTTGTTCGGCCCTGCTATGGAGGAGGTGAGCGGAGCCCAAAGCACTTGTTGGATGGCAACGGCAACAGCAAATGATAACTCCAGAATCATCAAAATTTAACGAACTTTGTTAGGGTCCTGCAACCAGGCCCATATTGCTTGACACACGACAACATGTGTCAACACAAGTTGGACTCAAACGAGGCCATTCCGAACAAAAGCAGGCTACATGGTGTTTCTCTTGAAAGCAACCAAATCAACGCCCATTTCTTCATGTTCTGCCCCGGAAACAGGGACTTTTGTGTGGACACATGTCTTTCACTGGAAGGATCACGCATTGTTTCATGGCCACTTCAAGGGTGGCTGCAAAATTTGTCCAGAGGAGCCAACCCCAAATTTCCCACTGTCCTGACATGGGTTTTCCTTACCACTTGTTTTAAAGGTGCTTCCCTCTTTGGGGTGAGCGGAAACTGCAGTTTTAGGTTACCTCCAATTTTCTGCGACCATTTTGCATCCTGTTGAATTTGACAGGTGGGTAAACCCATTGCCTGGTGCCCGGACAGCTCAGAGCTGGTGGTGGGCCTCGGGAGGCTTCTGCAGATCTGGGCTGTGGGCGCAGAGGGCTTGTGGGGTAAGGCGGCAGAGCTGCCAGGTCGGGCGGGTTTTCTGGGGCGGGGGGACCTCTTCAAAAAGGTCCCCAAACAAAACAAGACAACCCAGGCCCAAACAACAAGACAACCGTGCATTGTGGGGGGTGTCTCATTTGTTTTTTCCTGGGGAGGAGAGTTGATTGATGTGAAGTGACTTTTATGGACATTTGGGACCCTTGGGTTTCTCCCAAAGGTGCAAGAGGGTAACCCCCCCCCGAGACCCACAAGAACAAGGAAAGCCCTTTGGTGGCTCGGAAACAATCACAATTTGATTGCCAGTTCACAGTATGATGCCTTTCCTTATGCCAGGTGACGTAGGGCGAATTGGGGGCCCTGAAAACCAGCCTGACTCCATAATTGTGGTTTCCCAGGGCAACTTAACTTTGGCTGTCAGCTTTTTTGTCCTTTGAACAGTCGAATGGTTGGGGGTGTAGGAGTCCCTTGTAGTGTTGGCCAAGCTTTTGGACATTTTTTGGCCGCTGGTTCTACTACTTGTCTAGTTGGGTTATGGTAAAGATAAATCTTCATCACCACGATACTAGAACTACAAATCAACGGGTCTCAGGGTGTTCTGTTCCAAAGTGCCATTTGCTGGGCTTTGTTTGGCAACTGTCATCTGATATTCGGGGAGCCCATCAGCTTATGCTTGGTTGGTTTCCTCGATCGGCTTTCTTTTGAACATATTGTATTTGCGCGTATTGTTTCCTCTGGATCAAACGTTTTCTGGAAATGACCTTGACCCCACAAACGCGGAAGGTTGGAAGGGGGCCATTGGTGTGACCCAAGCGCTGTCAGGTGAACGGCATATGCTAAGCGTCGCCTGGCCGATGCGTGACCACATCACGGCCCAAGACGTCTCTGGTGCTTTGTGGCTGTGGGACCGAGCGAACGGCACCTGGCGGGCCGAGGTTGTGCAGCAGGAGAAGGTGTGGGGAGATGAGACGAGCCTTGGCTGAAATTCTGAGACTTTAAGGCTTGGACCAATTCCAAAAGTTCAAAAGGCTTCTTTCAAGTGGCGTGAGGCTCACGGACCCGGACTTTGCCCTCACCTCCCTGGACTGGACTTCCGGCGGTTCCGGCAAGCTGGCCAGCTTCCGGGGACCAACAGGGCTGCGGATCTGGGAGCGGGGACCGGCGGGATTGGTGCCGCTGCATGACCTGCAGGAGCCGCACCAGCAGCAGCTTTTGTCACTGAGGTGCGGTTCCCAATGGCTTTGGGCTTTTGGCTTTGGGGCTGAATGCGCCCTTCAGCCTTTTCTGGACCCAGACATTGAGAGCCAAAAGGTTCACACACTGTGTCTCCACACTGCGTTTTCTGAGTTTTTTCATCATCGGTTTCCTGTGCTGCGCCCCCCGAAGTGTCAATGAGACCCTCTCAGGTGGTCCACGGATGGTCGCCTTCTGGCCACGGGGTCCGCAGAAGGGGCCGTGTCGTTGTGGACCTTTGACCCGGAAGTACGACAGCTGCTGCGGGAGGACCACCGGCACGAAGGAGCAGTCTTCGGCCTGGCCTGGGCCCCGGACAGGCCGCCGGCCCTGGCCAGCGCCGGCGAGGACGGGAAGGTGAATGTCTGGAACGAGCTGGCAGGCGTGTGGACGCTCAGGTATGCACTAGACATACGAGACCCAAACTTGGATTATGTGGGCAGTCCCATTCCCGTCATGGGGCTGGATTGGTCACAACACGACATTTTGACGACTTGCGGGCCTGCCGGCATTTTCATCTGGAGAGACCCGCGGGAAGAAAGAACCAAGCTGAAGGTCACATCCAAGGCCTTGAGTGAGTTGTGCACCATACGCTGGTCGCCTGATGGGCACACTCTTCTAGTGGCAGACGGTAGCCTGTTTTTATGGCATTTGAGCATGACGGGAACATATTTCATGGGT